GGGTTGCTGTGCCTTGACCCGCGCCACGCCCGTCCCTCATAATTGCCCGTCCTTTTTTAATTATTTTGAAAAACACCCGTACCATTGCCCGTCCTTTTCACGTGTCCCGAAATTTTGTGTTATTTTGGAATTTGATTCATGCACTCATATCTGAAATGCATTTTTTACTTAGACCACAAAGGTTGCTATTGTGGTCAATTTTTGAGGTAAAAGTTTTTAGAATTATATCTTTTAAGGTTTGTAAACAACAATGTTTTTTATTATGAAGATACCTAATAAGCAAATGTAATTTGGATAATAAAATTTTTAGTTTTTGTCATGTCACTTTATTGATATTAATATTATGCATAAATTATTTAATTAAAATTATATTGATAAAAAGAAAATATTACAATGTTAGAACTAAATGATAGTCTAAACCTTTGCTATTTAAGAATTTAGGATTTTAATTTTGATAAATTCACAGAAACTCGATTTAATTTTCTCGAAGCTAATCGTGATTTATTTTTATTTCCATCATCAGAATTTAAATCATTTTTTTCTTTGATGCTTTTGTTGCCATTTTTTGTGGGCTTATCATTAAAATAATTAGCAAGAACTTTATTCATTGATTTTCGTTTATCCGTATTATTATTATTATTATTATTATTATTATTATTGCCATTACCATTTAAATTGCTATAACTATTATAATTTAATTGTGAACCACTGGCATTATTACTATTATTGCTATTGACAAAATTTCTATTTTCTTGATTTGGTGATAATGGGACCCTATTCAATCCGACATTATTATTGATTAAATCATATGATGAAGAATTTGTATAAGGATGAGATGGCGGTGGATAGTTATATAGATTATTTGGTATTGGAGGAGGACGAGGAAGAAATTGTTGATGGTGATAATAATACTGATTTTGTAATGCATTCGGAACCATTGGTGGTTGCAACTGTTGTAATATTTGTTGCTGTTGTTGTTGTCGTAATAGCGGCGGTGTATTTTGATATGTCGATAGAATAGAAGTTTGTGGCACTGGAGGATTAAATGGTTGCTGTTTATAAGCTGGATTCTGATATGGTTGGTCATAATCATTACCATTATGACGACCATTACTTCTTAATATTTTTCTCGGAGTAGTTGCCAAAGTATTATTAGAAACATCTCTGTCTGTATTATTTATTCTTGATGTTGTATTTTTTTCAAAAATCGACGAAAATCTTTTTCCTTTACCATCACTGTAACCATCATGTTTCCTGTTAATATCAAAAATAGAATTGCTACTTGGATTGAAATCATCAAAAAAATCTGTATTTCGTTTAGACGATCTCAATAATCTTAATCGTTTACGTACACAAAATGTTATCAGTGCACTTATTGCCAAAGTTACTAATCCTATTGACACTGCAGTTATGATTATTGTCGCAGTACTTGTTGTGCTACCACCAGAATTATTTTGTGCGTCTGTGGTACTACTAGGTAATCCAACATTAACGCTACTACTACTGGATGAAGTTGTACTTGTAGGTGTTGTAAAACTAGGAAAGGTTGAAGAGGTCGATGGTGCGGTGGTTATGGGTGTTGTTATATTACTAGTAGGTGTTAGTGTTGGTATTGATGATGATATTATTGATGGCAGTGGCAGCAGCGGTGTTGTTGTTATTGGTGGTGTTGTGTCAGTTGTGGATGTTGTGTCAGTTGTTGTTGTGGGTGAATGATACATTTATCGATTATATCAAACATCAAATTTCATTCAACATATTGCTTTATGTGATGGGTGGGATATGCTGTTTCTCTCAAATTAGTCATTTTGATATGGGATATTTGTACCATATGTGTACT